CCTACGCGCCCTTGTGCTCGTAGGGTTGCTTCTGAATTGAAATTTCAGTTGTCTCTCTAGTGGCACTCTCTTTTATTCCCGTATCACTTATACTGTACGTTCTACTACCCCAACTCATATCTAATTATTTCTCGATGATTAATCTGTGTAACAGGCACACTTATTCCCTTAAGCATAACTCTACTCACATTGCTTGCTTTAGGGAAGCGTCTTCCTGAATGACCTTTAAAGTTTATTCTTCCGTTGTCCATTCTATCATTTCCGTAACGCGATTTCTAAATTTCTTACGATGCCGACTATTATCGAATCCTTTGGTCCCTAAATCATGTTCGATTTTTTTTCTTGTTTACTAGCCTATGTTGATTTTTATTACTCCGAGGGGTCTAACTTAGCCTTCTGATAATTACATTGGAGTCTCCAACTCATTTTCTTGAAATAAGGATATGACTTTATGGCTTATAATCTTTTATAGTCTCAAGGTTGGTCACCTCTTGTATTTTTCTTCACTTGACCATATACTCTGTCATCCTACCATATTTTGATTTTCGGTTATCACTCATTTATCATACCTTACTCATAATGCATTTACTCTCTTTTTATTCTCCTGCTAATATTTTTGTCTATTACATCATTCTGGAAATCTCAACAAAATATTATTTCACTTTTAGCTCCCCTAGATCAATCCACCATTTTGGGTTACTCTAACCCCAGCTCGATCCTGATGTCCCATATTTCTCTTAAACAATAAACTTTAGCTCCCACATGGCATAACTAAGATGGGTGTGGCCAATTTTACATACTTCTGTTACTATTGACAGTAACTCAAATACTCATATTTCTCTGCCTGAATTTTAAAAACTGATAATCTTCTCTAACTGCGTACCTCATACCCTTCTCCACCTTGATTCTATTATCTGTTGAAACTTATGATTTTCCTCCTAATACTCCCATGGCCTGCTATTCGCGGGGTATATTAGATATTCCCATCTTAGTGTCTTAAGTAGGAAATTCGCACATCCGGTATGCACGATCTGATAGGGCCTCAAACTGGGCCACCTTGTCAAGAATTCTCTCTCTACTAGTGCTCTAACCTGCTTCTGTAGTAGCCCTATGGCTAGGAATAGTTTTTCAAATTGCAAGCATCTCTATAATTAGAAAATACAAGTCTTGGGTCGAACTCTAATGACTCAGCTTTATAGCACGATGTGGATTTTAAAGAAGGGTAACATACTCCTAAATGCATCGTAGCTTCTTATTTATAAAATGTGGTGCAAAACACATCTATAAACAAGTCTCTACTAGACACGGCTTGTAGACTCCCTAGGATAGAACTGCTCTAATACCAAGTTTGTCATGCCCTGGTGCCGGCCACGCTTCTTCAGGTTTGGGGCATAACAATATAGATCAAGCATCCTCAGTTTATAGAGCTGATCAAGCATGGCTGGGAGATTCCAATAGAAGGTTGCAAGATGTTTTATATTGTGAAGAAGTTAAAATTATTGAAGAAAAACCTGAGAATTCTCAATACAAACCTTTTCAAGACTATTGAGGATAATGCCAAAGAAGATAGAGCAGCACTGCAACAAGCAAAAAAACAATTACAAGCAAATCCTAAGGATTCTGCATTTCAACTCAGAGAACAGGAACTATATCAAAAGTTTAGAAATTCATCCTACTTAGCTGAGATGTATTTGCAACAAAAGAGCAAGGCAAGCTGGATCTGACTTCGAGATGATAACACAAGTTACTTCGACTAATTTATCAACACAGGAAACTTAAGTAGACAATGACTCAATTGAAGAATAAGCAAGGATAATGGGAGCATAATCCAAATATTATGGCACAGTTGTTTGTAGAGTACATGAAGGTTTATTGGGTCACACAACAAACTCTAGAATACATGCATTCAAGAGTATGCTGAACAGAAGGCCTATCCTAACAGTGGACCAACATGTTGATTTACGAAACCATTTGCTAGCAAAGATGTAAAATAAGCAATCTTCCAAATTGATAGTAACAACAACGCAAGTCCAGATGGATATGGAAGTTGCTTTTTCAAAGCTGCTTGGCTAGTCATTGGGCAGGATATTAGTGAGGATGTGCTGGACTTCTTCTAAAATGGAAAATTACTAAGAAAAATTAACTCAACCATCACTACATTGATTCCTAAAGTGGATGCACCCGAATATGATAATCAATTCAGGCCTATCTCCTGTTGTAATGTTATCTACAAGTGCATGTCCAAACTGATATGTAGTTTAACGATCCGGCCGCTCGCTTTGAGAATTTAAGTTCCGTTCAGTGGCATAAGGTCTTGAGAAACATTGTATTATGTGTATTGACTTGTGTGCATGGTTGAATTCAGTTGCCGGATGATTCAGAGTCAGATTGGAAGAAAATTTCAGTTTTGGAAGCTTAAGCGATAAGACTTGACCGGAATTTAAATTTTGAGTAAACGACTCTGGAATGAGTTTTGGATGATTTCAACAGCTTCGTATGGTTATTTTGGACTTAGGCGCGCGTCCGGAATTGGATTTGAGGTCCGTAGGGTAAGTTGAAGCATTTCGGCGAAAATTGGTAATGTTGAAGTTTGGAAGATGGAGAAGTTTGACCAATAGTTGACTTTTGTGATATCAGGGTCAGAATGCAATTCCAAAAATTGGAATAGCTCCGTTATTTCATTTGGGAATTGTTCGCAAAATTTGACGTCATTCCGGGTTGATTTGATAGGTTTCGGTGCGAGTTTTAGAAGTTGGAAGATTTAAAAGTTCATAAATTTGATTCTTTGTGCAATTTGTAGTTTCGATGTTCTTTGATGTGATTTGAGACCTCGAGCGAGTCTATGTTAGGTTATGGAACTTGTTGGTATGTTCTGACAGTGTCCCGGAGGCCTCGGGTGAGCTTCGGATGGGCTACGAGCCATTTTCTCATTGTTTTGTATAGCTGTGCTGATATCTAGTGTCCCCTTCTATGCGATCGCGTAGGTATAGCCGCGATCGCTAAGGCTTGTTTGGTGGCTAACAATTTTCCTTCTTCGCGTTTGCATAGGTTAGTCCGCTATCGCGTAGTTATGCTTCTGCCTTCTCCGCGTTTGCACTTCATTGACCGCGTTCGCATAGGTTAACTGTAACAACTGGTGATTTTCCACCTTCCCATTTTGCGATCGCATGCCTACTCACGCAGTCGCATGTGCAGTACCCGACCTCAGCATTTTCCCTCTTCGCGATCGCACTGTCCTTTTGCGATCGCATAATGCATTTCGCCAGTTTCTATTTTTCTTCTTCACGATCGCAGTACTTGTTCCGCGATCGTGATGTTCAAATACCTGGGCGGTAGAACATATTTTCCAAATCGATGGTTAGGCCATTTTTATCATATCTTGACTTGTAGAGCTCGGTTTTGAGCGATTCCTTGTGGGTTTTTCAAGAAAATTGATTGGGTAAGTGTTCTTCACCTAGAATTTATTATATTCCATGATTTTATCTTTATTTTTATAATTTAATTTGTGTTTTGAGTTGAGGAAAATGGTTTTTTTTGAAGAAAACTTTCAAAATGAAAATGATTATTTGAGGGATGAAATGATATCGGAATTTGATAATTTTAGTATGCTTGGACTCATATCGGAATGAGTGTTTCGGTTTAGTGAAACTTGTCAGGTTTCGAGGTGCAGGCCCCAGGGTCGACTTTTGGGTCGATTTTTAGATTTTGATATAGACTGAGTCTTTATGATCCGATATAGTTTCTCATGAGTTTTATTTGTGCTTTAAAGTTATTTTGGTTAGATTTGAGCCGTCCGGAGGTCATTTCACCCGAGAAGTTCATTTTAGAGTATCAGTTTGTCTTCTTTGAGGTAAGTATCTTGCCAAACCTTGTGTGGGGGAACTACCCCTTAGGGTTTGAGTCTCCTATGTTGATTTTAGTCCATGTACGCGAGGTGACGAGTATGTGCTCGGACTTATTTGTGGAAATTGGTCTTTTAGGGTTCCTAGGTCCTTGTATTTTATTGAATATGCGGTTGTTTTTGTTATGATTACATTCATTAATTACTAGTTCCACATCTACCTACTTAATTAGAATCGATTGCTTCATGATCCACTATTATTGTTACTTGATTCATATGTGTAGACATGTGATTTTTGACCCTCCCCAAGATTTTATATATTTTAGCACGTAAATATTAAATTTAGGCTTAATATAGCTATTTCAACTCATTTTGACTCTTTTACTTTATTTTATTACAAGACAAATGAAAATTACAAAAAATATTTTAGTTTATATATTTTTCATAAATTTTAAAAAAAATACAAAAATAGTACCTTATTTTTATCTTTGTATAATTTCGAAAACACAAAAATAGTTTCATGTTTAGTTTAATTAATTAGGATTAGTCTTAGCATTGTATAGTATTTTTATCTTATTTTAAAAGGAGTCAATTAAGGTGTTGGATCACAATTTTAAGAGTTTTAGAGCCCATTTCTTGGCCCAATTCGGATTAGTCCATTAAGCCTAGGGACCCTTCTAGACTCTTCTTTAGAACAAAAACAAATAAAAAAGACCCTAAGGACTTAACACAAAAACACCTAGGGACTAATTTGCAAAATACACAAAATACACACTAGACCTAAGCCTCTACATATACACTAATCAGAAATGAAGAGATCGGACGGATAGATCTCACAAAAAATAGAGGGAGCCGCAACACTGCAAAAGAGGAGACCCCTATATGAATTTCACCTCCCTGGTGACCCCCCCTCCCCCGCGTCATCTTCTCCAAAGGACCCTCCCCATCGATCTTCTTCAACAACCAGACCAAAAATCCCTCACCCAAACTCGCTGTTCACCCCTGAAACCAACGACTCCCTACCCCCCGACCTTCATCTTCTCCAGACCTAGACTAAGACCTCACAAGCTTCAGCCATTTTTGAATCTTCAGCAACCCAAACTCGCCGGAAATCAACCTCTCACCATCCGCTAACCTTGCCTGAACCTGAAACAAAACGGAAAAGTTGAACCGGAGGAAACAGTAGCGAAACGAAGAGAGGAACATAGGAGAAAACAGTAGCGAAATTGAACCCACGTGATTTCAGTTTTTTAGTTCCCTTAAATTTCGGAGTTTAATTCCTTCGGATTTTCAGGTTGGATTTGTTCTCTACTAGTGTTGGTCTGTGGAGAGTTCGGAAGCGAGGTTATCGTCGAGTTTGTTGTCGAGGTTCTCCGGTCAAAATCGCGCCTGATCTGCGTCGATTTGGTCGTCGATTTGTCGAGGTTGTCCGCTCGAGGTCGTAGTCGGTGAGTCAAGCTTAACTAAGGTCTGTTTTCTTTTAGTTCTCAAATTTGGATCTTCATTTTGCACTTCATCTTGTACTGATTTATGTCACGCTTGAGTAAATGTGAATGTATTGATATGGTCTTGTATATTCAAATAGCTCTTTGGTTTTGGAAACTCTGGATTCAAATTTTGCATATTCTGCCTATTTGCTTGTTAATTGATTCTTAAACAACAATAAATGTAGAAGCCGAAACTTGGAGAGGGACTTCTCTATTTTAAATCTCAATTGAAGGCATCTTTGTTGGATGAATTTGGAAATATGTTTCGTTCAGTTGGTTCTCTTCCGTATGAAGGTTGTACTGTGAATTTCCATTTTGCTATATGTTCCTTATATTGACGGCTCTTATCCTATTTTGATCTACCATTTTCATTTTTGATTATTTAGCTTTATCTTGATTGTTTGTTGGGCCCGTGTGTTTTAAATCCCATAGTAATCCGGTACAATGGGAAGGATTGAACCCACTAGTATCAAATTAAACTGCATGCTTTAGATAGCGGGCTCGGCCTAATAAGAATAAAAATAAATATGGGCATGACTATTAGAAATCGAGGCATGTCATTTAGTTGAATTTCCATGGCCCTCGCAAAGTTAAAAACGCGTAATTGCTTTAGGCGCGTCATTTTAATAACTTACCTTCGTAAACTCAGATGCGCATTTATGTGACCCAAATCCAAATCTCAACGTTAAATAAAATGTGTTGTGGGCTGCGGGTGCATTTATGTGACGTGGTTCGAAACATATTTTAAATGACGTTGCAATCTTCCTTTAATTAATTAAATAAAAGCGGCTAAAAAGTTAAAATTGCACAGAGGTTCAAAATGTTTTAAAATCAGATAATTATGCCAGTTATAACAGTTGAGCGACCGTGCTAGAACCACGGAACTCGGGAATGCCTTACACCTTCTCCCGGGTTAACAGAATTCCTTACCCAAGTTTCTGGTTCGCTTACTGTAATACAGAGTCAATCTTTTCCTCGATTCAGAATTTGAACCGGTGACTTGGGACACCATAAATCTCCCAAGTGGCGACTCTGAATTCTTAAATAAGTAATCCCGCTTCGATTGTCCTTTAATTGGAAAAACTCCCTTTATTATACCCTTCACGAGGGTGTAGGTAAAAAGGAGGTGTGACAGCTCTGGTGACTCTGCTGGGGACAAGAACCCAGAACTTCTGGTTCAGGGTTCAGAATTCGAACTTGGAATAATTGTTGTATTTGGCTTTGTTTATTATCTGATTTTTATGACATGTTTGGGACTAATGTGCAAAATGTTGCCTTTTACCGCTTTGATATTATTTGAACTGTATATATAAACTGCTACGAAACCTTTCTCTTCTCATCTTCGGGGATGTGCTCGCTGGTCGAGACTGCCTATTCTGTTAGTGTCATACCTTGAAATAAGAAAGAGGCTCGGACAAGTTACTAAGCCGGATGGCCTTTTGGTTCTCGGTACGTAGCCCCCTCCTCGGCTCGAGTTGTCCGCTCGGGTTTACAAGTCTAGAACAACATACCCAGGTTTTGAACCTAGAATAACTCAGTCTCATGCCGGATCCCTAGTAGGAACATTTGTTTGCATCACGTGCATTTGACTTAGGGGACTCAACACAGGGGTTGGGTCCGTCTAGGACAAGTGTACCCAAAATAACAGACCATCTTGATGCATTTTGTGTGCTACATGTTGCATTTCTTCAAGGTTAAAAGGGTCATTTGGTAGACCAATGGAAGTTGGGGGCAAATGAAAAAATGAAAAAAAGAGAAAAAAAAAAAGAAAAACAGAGAGTGAAGTGTGAAGGTAAAGCGAGTTGGGCCCAATTATGTTGTTAAAAAAAAGAGCTTGAAAATTCAAAAAAAAAAGATTTTGCACTTTTTCATCATTTTCCGAAAATAAAAAAAAAGGGAAAAAGAAAATCCAATTTTTTTTTTGCTTGTTTCGTCATTTTCAAGGAAAAGACAAAAAAATATATATTTTCTCTAGATTAGTTATTTTTTTTTAACTCTCGCCGTATCCAATCTGCCCGAACTACGCATACCTGATTCTCGTCTTTCCGGGCGTGATACGTAGGCAACCCACATAGGGTCCGGTCTTCCTAGTAAATGTTAGGTTCTTGGCTTTGCGGGGTCTTAGCCAAATTTTGCACTTCTAGCCATCTTTTGGCCAAATAAGCCATTTTGCAAAAATAGCCTCAATCATGTCTTGCATGTGTCTAGTAGGGAATGTTACTGTCTCATATAGTGTTGGTTTAAGTTTTCTCATACAGGTGTGGATTTACTTATTGGAGTTTGAGCATGACATACACCCCAGGATCACTGCATTCAGGAGCTGCTCGAGGAGCCATTTTATGTTGAGTCAATTGTTCATGTTTTACTTTTTAGTCCTGTATAGTGGCATTCAGTCTTTTAGGTGATGTCAGAGTTTGTAATAGTCTAGTTGAGTTTGCCTAGTCTTTTGTTATTGTATTTCTTATTTGTATTTGGAGATGTGTTACAAGTCAAAAAATCCAAAAAAGAAAAAGAGAAATCTTGCGTTTTTATATTTTCGTTATAGGTTTTCTTTAAAATACTAATTCTAGAAATAAAAAAATTCCTTTGAGGTGGTTTTTCCTTTAGGCAATTAATATCAAAATAAAAATTGCTTTTATATTTCCTTTAGTATATTAGGACTAAAAATTCAAAAAGAAGGAAATTTTCTTTTAGTACCTCTTTAAAGAGTTCTCTTTAAGGTATTAATTGCAAATATCACAAAAAAAAAAAAAAAAATTCTTTTGAGGTTCTTCTTTGGGAGACTAATGAAAAAATAAAAAAAAATAAATCCTTTTATTTTCATTAGAACTTTAGGACACTATACATAGAAGAAAAAGAAAACAACGTGGTTTCCTTCCTAAAAAAATGAGTCAAAAAATATTTTTTCTCTTCTAGGATTTTTCTTTAATAGAGAATTTGTGTCGAAAAGAAAAAAAAATGAAAAAATTCCGTTAAGCTCGAGTTACATAAAGTCTAAGAAAAAAGAAAAAAAAGATTTGATTTGTTTCGTTTATTTCCCTTATCTCGTCAGAGTAGTCATCAAAAAAAAATGAGAAAGTTAGTTTGTTTACTTTATTCCCGATCTTCCAGAACTATGCAAAGATCTGATTCATGCGGCGTCATGATACGTAGGCAACCTACATAGGGTTCAATCGAATTATTTTTTTATTATTAAAAGAAAAAAAGGAAAAGAATAAAAAAGAAAAAAGAGAGACAAAGGAAAAAAAAAAAGAGGTGAAGTCATGGGATGTGAGAAATGAGAGGGAAGAAAAGAGCGATAATCAGAAAGAAAAAAAAAGGGAAGGAAAATGATCAAGCAAGTGCTAGAAAAGCAAAGAAAAGAGAGGATTGAAATGAACAAATTGGGATGATGCCAACTGACCTTCGTACACTCGAAGTCATTTTAAAACCGATAACTGTGGCTAGGTGCATTGTAATTAAATGTGATATTCTTAGCTGTTAAATGCCCTAACGCTAACATGATGATTTCATTTGGTTCCTCTTTGTTCTCCTCATTATATCAGAAGAGTGGTTGGTTTGTGGTTCTTAAGGTAACTCGTCCATACAACACAAGGTCAAAGGGCAAGATAGCCATGGCTAGCAAAAACATGGGCACAAGAGTTGTTGACCCGTCAAGGGAGTTTGTGGAGGCGGAGTCTGAATTGAAAGAGGAGGTCCAAAGGGTGAAACAACATATGGCAGAAATGTATCAGTCTTGGATCAGGGGGCATCCTCCACCTTCATTCCCTGCTAACTACACTGAAAACCCTGCAACTATCTCACCAATATCCCAAATCCAGATTCCCACTGCTGCTGATATCACCCCACAACCTTTTCACACTCTACCCGCCAAAACCACCTCGTATCCCGCTCCTTTGGACACTCATGCTCTTGTAGCTCCTCCTCCAGCTACTTTTCCTCGATCCTCTAATGAGGCTGTGTTCAAATTCCCCGATGCCCAATACTATGCTCCAGAACCAACTTTCAAAGTCTCGAATCCATACTCTCACACTCCTTATTTTGAGTCTCCTGGTGAAGCTGAAAAGCCTGCTAAGACAGTGGGGCAAGATGAGATATCCAGGAAGGTGAAAATCTTAGAGCAGTCTTTAAAAAACATGCAAGGGATAGGGAGCCAGATGAGCGTGGCTTACAAAGACTTGTGCTTGTTTCCTGACGTCCAACTGCCTGCTGGGTTTAAGATGCCAAAGTTTGATTTATATGACGGGCACGGAGATCCCGTGGCTCATTTGAGAGGTTACTACAGTAAGATGAGAGGCGCCGGTGGGAAAGACAAATTATTAATGGCGTATTTAATTCAGAGTCTGAGTGGGGCAACTCTGGAGTGGTACACCCGCCAAGATGTTAGTAGGTGGTACACGTGGGACGATATGGCTAAGGCCTTTGCCAGGCACTTTCAGTATAATATAGAAATCGTCCCGGATCGCAGGTCCCTCGCCAAAATGGAAAAGAAGCCTAATGAAAGCTTTAGGGAATACGGGCTCAGATGGAGAGAGCAAGCTGCCAGAGTCAACCCTCCGATGGAAGAGAAAGAGATGGTCGACTACTTTCTTCAAGCTCAAGAACCAACTTACTTTGGGCATTTGATCACGGCTGTGGATAGGCCTTTTAATGATGTGGTAAAATGGGAGAAATGGTAGAAGATGGCTGAAGTCGAGCAAGATCATGAGCTATTCTGCTTTAAAAGCAACAACACAAGCAATGCGGAATGACACAGGAAGCTTGCTGGGTCAGAAGGAACAGGATGATGTTGCCATGGTTGTTTCAGAGTCACAGAGTGGTCCAAAGGGTCCGCCTCACTAATATACCCAGCCTCAACTCCAACCCCAAACCTATCCCCGAGCTCCACATAATCCACCTCAGTATTATCCTCCGAACAATGTCCGGTCATATGTCCAACCACCAGGTCACTCCCTATGGCGAGCGCCAACACCGCATAATGCATTCTTGCCTTCACAACATTTTCGAGCACCCAACAACCCTAGAAAATAGGGGCAAGGAAGGGAATAAAGGCAAAGAAATAGTTTCACGCCAATTGGGGAGTCCTACACAAGCTTCTTTAAAAAGTTAAAGCATTCTGGCCTGATTGAATCGCTCCTCGGCTATACTCCAGACCCATATGCAAAAGGCTTTGATCCTACTGTACGATGCATGTACCACTCTAATTTCCAAGGGCATAGAATTGAAGATTGTCGTTCTTTGAAAAGGGAAATAGAAAGAATGATTCAAGAAGGGGTAATTGTGATCAATGACAGTGACAGGGAGCATGCGAATCCTCTTGGGAACTTGTTGACTAAAGTTAATGATATTGAAGTTGGTAATGGTCTTGGCAATATTGATGC